CCCCAGCCAATGATCTGTGTCTTTGCATAAAACAGACAAAAATGGAACCTAAGCAAACTACAAAAACATGGCAATCTGGCCCACAGGGTGTCAATCATTCTCCATTCTCCCCATTGTTTTCCACTTCATTTCTGACAAGTTCTACACCTGCAATCTCCAACTTCTTTCCTTTCATGCTGGCATGCTTTGCTCCTTCTTTGATACCCACACACCATTTCTACTCCAGAGTTCCCTAACTTAATTGGAGCATACCTAAAAACACGCCTAAATTTGCAAAGTAATTGAAAGCGTCATTTCAGATTTTATTGACTAACTGCTGCCAAGGAGGGACCCACTTTATTCTCCCTTGACTAGGAATAAGAAAGTTCAAAGACAAAATACATGGATCTAGCAAGTGGACTAAAAAAAAAAAAAAAAAAGAGTGATTTCAAAATATCATCTCCTGTCCAATGAGAACAGTAGGTAGAGGAGAAAGATTACCTTCAAACAACCCACCACTATTCAGAAGGAGACCTTCCTTTCCAGCACATTAGCCAAAAGTTGTGTTCATCCAAGGTGTCCCAGGAGATGGGCTGAAGAGCCCTGTTACAATTCCCACAAGTAACTTACAGATAGGTTCATTCTACACAGTGACTTGTGGTCTAAGAACAAGCTCTATACCAGCAGACTTTCAAAACCAATCATGACAAATCTAAAGGGAAGTTTTTAGAACATTCCCACCCCCTTTTTTTTTTTTTTTTAATTATATAGGCCAAGCAAGTTCCTAGAAACCAACCAGTTAACATAGGACTTAAATGTGTTTTAAGCCACAGATATCCAATATACCCTAATAATCACTGCATCATCTTGACAGCTTGCCAAGACTCATGTAACAAATATTTGTCCTTCATCCCTGCAAAGTTTTGAGGCAGAACCCTTATTTGACATCAGATCTTAAGATGCCTGCTGACAAAAGATCCAGGTAGGAGTGCTTGGCTGTGTATTTTACGCACAGCTACGCCATCTGGAAATATTCTCTGGAATCTCATCAACGAGGCTCCATTTGTCATGGATGCCATAGTTTGATCACTTTAAGCTACTCCTGACCCTTTGTGATGTGTGAGTGAGGGTTCGGAGGGAGTTCAGATTATTTAGCACTGAAGGAATTTCATTGAAAAGCACATGAGGAAGTTAGCAAGGAACAAGAGCTGAATAAGAGCTATAGTTCCTAAAGGGCTGGCAAGATTTCATCTTTTAAGGTCCTTAGGTTCTTGAGAGAGAGCAGAGAGCTAAGCCGAATCAAAAAGGTTCTGTGCTCACTATGGAAACCATTCTGCTTGCCTTGGCACAAGCACAGTACAAGTTATCGGCATATGAAATTGGAAACCTATCGTAACCTGGGGTGCAGAACTATGCCTTGCTGTCCACAGTATACTTCCTCTTTTCCTTATTTTAGTTACCTGGGCTTTTTCACCCACTCAGAGAAGAAGGCACAAGTTAGAATTGCTCATTTCATAAGGATAAGTTCTTGGATACTGTATCTATCACAATTGCATGTGACTGAGCTCGATGGCCCATAGGATCCCTTCCAGTTCTATAGGAGTTCCCCTGTAGAGCATCTCTGTCATGCAGAAGGAATGACGGCCGTTCAGGGTAAATCTGGTGCCCTACTGCAGCAGTAGAAGATGCTCGAACACTGCTGGTGATACCTTCATTTGTGCGAGTACAGGATACAGACCTGGCCAACCACCTGTAGTTAGGTACACCCGTCTCGCAGCTGTCTGTAGTTGCCAAGAACAGTGATCTTTATGCACAACTAGAGGTCATATTCCTAATGCGACTAGAAAAACAAAATACCTTTCAATAGCAGCACACATGGAAATTACCAGCAAGGTTAAATTTGAATGTGATAGTTAAAAGAATATTCCTACTTCCCAGGGATTCATGGGAGTGTTAGTGGGTTAAAAGCGAGACTTGCAGTTGTCAAACACTAGCAGGTTATTAGGTACTGTATAGTACCACAGGGTAAAAGGAAAAAGGAAAGGAGAACATGAGTAGTTTCAGCTAAACATTTCAGTTGTCTCTGACAGAGCAGAAAGGAAAGTATACTTTACCTGTGCTTAAGACAAAAAAAGTCCTTAGTTACTTCTTTGGGACTCTTTGGAATCACAATATACAGTAGGCTGTGTAGTTTGGCTATCAACATTTTCTCCACCTCCAGAAACAGACACTTTTGCATATGGATGTACCACATTTCAGATCCCATGTTTTAAGTGACTGAACAGTGACAGTTTATATGCCAATATCAGCCATGGAGTTGCTTATCTAAGCCACTCTGCTCAAGTGATGAAAGCAAAAGCAGGACTCCCACCCTACCGCTTCTTATTGTGATACTCAAAAGTGCATCACTTGGAAGAACAGTCCAACTGCTTCTTGGGCCCTGGGAATAAAGCTTCTGGGTTTCCAATACTCAGAAAGCAGCATGATTCAAAGGCCTTTTTCTATGCTATGGGAGAGAAGCTGCCATAAAGCAGCCCAGCAGTGGCGAGGGAAAAAAAAAATAATCATACAAGTAAGCTTTTTCCTAATGAGAAACTGTTTAAAAGAGAGCAATACTTGAGGTCATGCTCATAATTCACGCAAACTATAAAGCTTGTCAATACATTGAAAAGGAATTTCCATTTTAGAACAAGTAATTCTGACAAAAATATATTTTTATAATATTGAAAAAGCCTTCATAAACAAAAGTCAGGCTTAAACATATGCCTATTTATCCTTCCACAGGGATTTTAATGAGTTTCTCCTGTCACTTTAACCAATTGCCAAAAACATCTGTGCCATCTGCCCTCTGAGTCAATTGTGCTCAGTAAATGCACTCAACTTGATTTTTCACTTCACTGCAGAAGCAAACTATTTGTGTGACAAGACACCAATACGCAATGTTAAAATGTTGCAACTTCATCTTTAAACTATGCTGAAGAAGACCTGAATTGAGAAAGAAACAATATTCTCACTTTTAAGTAAATGTGTAACAGCAAACAGGAAAAAAAGAGGCCATGTAAAGCCTTGCATGCATTCTGTCTTCTTAATTAGCTCAGCATGGAAAGGCTGGGTATGTCTGAAAAGAGACTAGACATCAAATATGCACTGCCATGTCCTTCCCCACTCCACATTCCTATCACTCCAAGGTATCTCAGATCCTCACCAGCACAGGTAGCAAGGAAGATCTCTTCTTTCAGGATTTGATTTTGCATTTCCATTGGGCCAGCTCCTTCTGCTCTGCAGACACATATTTCGGCCCTTTTTCAGTGATGTCTCTGGCTCCTTTGCCTTCTTTCATTGATAATTTGGCCGGTTCTTACTCCTGCCACCTAAATGCAGACTCAGATACCCATGCTCACATGAATGCACAATTTCAATCAGATTACTCACAGAGCATGGTACTAAACTCAAGGGTCTAAGAATCCAGTTTCTTAGGAGGTAGGACTCCCAATTCCTCCCCTCAAAGGCATTTGAAATCCACCTACCTTTGCACCGGCCGCGGTGTGTCACACTCAGACTTGACTCCCGGCATTTGGCTCTCTGGTAGTCACACATTGACTCGTACGTTCTGCCGTCAGAGGCACACAGGGGTTTGGACTGGGACCTGGAGCAATGCAGGTTACACTGAGGGTCTCTGTCACGGTCGCTTATTAAAAACTGAAGGAAGTGAAAAAAGGAGGGAGGGAGGAAAAAAAAAAAATTGTTTGGTTTGGTTTCCCAAAACAGAGCACGGTGTATTTTGTTTTTATGACAATAGCAATATGGTCTATAATGCAGTTTAAGCTGCCTACCAAAGCTGACTTTGCCTGAAGGGAACTTCAAATGAAACACGTACATCTTTAAAAAAAAATTAAGGGTCTTTGCCATTCCATTTTCTTTAATAGAACGGAAACATTACTCACTCTGCCTCACCTCTGAAAACATAAGATGTGCAAAGCCAAACACAACCCACACGGGAAGGGCAATACTGAGTCACAACAGCCCAGCTTGCCCAGCGCCCTGCTACAAACAGTATCTGGTACTAGACAATTTTAGTCAGAGGTGCAAGAAACTTATCACTGAGGACGGAGGAACACAAGTAACCTATCAAGATTGGCCTTGGTAGTTGAACCATAGGATGTGGCCAGCTTTATATCACCAGTTATTTGGGTTTTTTAAAGCATTACTTATGTCATTTGTGGATACACCTGCAACAGCATACCTGCACAGTTCCAAAGCCATGTTTTGTTCCTTCCCAATGACATCCTGCCCAGCTGGCAATTGCATTCCATGCATCCCACAAGCTAACTGCACACTATGTGAAAAGCTATTTCTTTTCAGAAGTTTGAATTTGTCATCTTTCTGAATACTACTTCTTCCCGAGTGTTCTGTTTGGATGCAGCCCGTTTTGTATAAACATGGCACTCCTTTCTTGTCAGTCTCTCAATGCGAACAACCCTAGACTCCCAATTCCTTGCCCAGAAGACTTCCTCCGTACCACGATCACTGCTATTTCCCTTCTCTGAAGACAGCATGGCTTCTGCCTTGTCTTTTGGCGATGGGGAAACCCACAATGCACATGAATGGGTCCCCATTTTCTGTCCACTTGTTCCCTGCAAATCCCAACATCTGGCAGTAATTTACTGTTGTACCCTGAGCTGCCTATAGGGATACCCGGGTCTCTTTCCCAAGTTCATACTGGCTTCCTGAGGACCTTGACTGCCCGTCCTCTTTCCATAGAAGAGTTTCACCAGGATATGATAGTGGCAGCCCTTTTCACTTCCCATGCTATCCCGCTTAGTGGTTAGTCAGTTAGACCTTTAACTGTTACCCAAACCCAACCACCTGCTCACAGGAAGATTTCAGGGGACTCTTGAAACAAGTCCCATGAGGATTAAGCAAAGAAAAGGGAAGTTAAACCTGCCTTGCACTTCCCCTTCCCAAGCTCCCATCTCTTAAGCCTCTCGCAAGCCTGGGGGGACCAGAGTTGCTCTCTAATACACCAATATCCCAGTTTGCTGTCAAAGCAGTTATGAGCTCGCAGTTCAGAGCTGGCTGGGCACTGACTGACACCCTGCCTGCATGCACAAAGCCACGGCTCTCCAAGTGTGTTGATAGCTGGATGCCTTGCAGGGAAGTGTGAGTCATTGCCATAATCACCTTGGTGTTACAGTTCCCTACAAAGCTGTCTGCTCTGCTTTGAGGTTAAAGCTGTTGAAAAAAACATTGCCTGAAGCCTAGTTTGGGTTGGTTTTTAACCACTCTAGGAACATGCATCTCTGAAATTTGTTTTTTGACATTTAAAAAAAATTTTTCACCCCCTTTCTCTCCCCAATTAAATGAGATTAAAAACAATTGAGAAGTTGCATATTTTTGTATAAAAACATATTAGCTCTGTACTGCTGGATCTTCTGAAGACTCATGCATTACTAAAAACCCTATTTAAACATGACAGCTGGGAAAAGTAAGCAAGGTCTGCACTTGTTTTAATTCGGGTGGGGCAAACTTTTTTTAAAATCTCATCTGTCAGAGACTTGCCAAAATCTGTAACAGCACAGAGATTTTAAAATGTTTTTATTCCTTTTCTGCAACACTTTCTATAACCTGGCAACACCTGTTCCAAATGGGAAATTGGAAAATTTAAAACCGAAGGCAATTTTAAATGGTTTATAGAGACCTGAACTAGACTATAAAAACACTGTAAAGCTGGACCAGATTTTTGCCCAGTTCTTGTCAGGGGTTGGACTATCACAAGTTAGCTTGGAATTGCTCTGGCTACAGTAATGTCTTTCTGTGGGCCCCGAGGTGCAAAGATCACCAGTGACTGTAAACATACAGCAAAAAGCAGCAGACTGAAGATGCTGAAGCTTCCTCCCAGCATGTCAGAGACCCTGAAAGTCTCGCAAGGCTTTTCAGCTGTCTGTATAAACAGACTTTAAAAGCAGAGCTGCCTGATAGCACAGTATGGTGCACATACAGCTATTAAATATTCAGTTAAACACAGAAGCCATTCTGATTTAGAAAGAACACATGCATCTGCCATTTATCACAACTTTGAGGGCTTGAGCTACTGGCATGAAACTTTTTGCAAATTCCTTGTGTCAGAAGCCGAGTTCCACAGATCAGAGTTATCCAGAGGTGCACCAAAAAAGCTAGAATACTGGTTCCCAGCACCAAACCATATTATGAACTTATTGAAAACTCAGCTTGTATCATGAAAACTCACCTAAGCCTTCTGCAGCCTGTACCAAAATGCTTAGTATAGAGGGCCCTTGCAGGCCAGGAACACCCCTCCTTCTAGAAAGGGCATCTCTGAAGAATACAAAGTCCTTCTCAGGGCTGACAAATGAGCCAAGCCTAAAGCTATAGAACAGCTTTCCTCCGGTGCCTCCTTGCAGAGGGATGGAGAAGAACAGCTCGGCATTGATTAATTATGAGGGCCTGAGGAAACATGCAGAGCACTCCAATGCAGTCTATGAAGTTCTTGCCTACCCAAATTAAGCCAAGAACCACCTTATAAAAAAAAAAATCAAAGCCTTTTTAGCATTTGTAATTTGGATTACAGTAGGGAGCCCACACAGCATGTTAGGTGCTTTCCAGACACTGAAGATGCCACACCTGCCTTGCCAAAAAAGTTTATGGTTTACGTAGTTGCACAAGATAGTGCTTGTTTTGTTCGGCTAGATTATAATTGTAAAAGTCTGCATTAATTTCCAGAAGGATCCAGGATTACACATGTCTGATCAGGGTCCTTCTCATGTGATCAGACAGCACTGCCAGAAAGGCTGGATCTCCTGGAGACATTACTGAAGGGCTTCAAAAATTCCCTCTTACAGTAGGACACCTGCTCCACTGTAGCTCAGAGCCCTTGTCTTTGCTCAACAGCCCTGCCAGCTTTCAGATAGTAAAATGGTGGTTCTTTGTCCCGTTTCTAGCTGGTAAGCATTCATGCTACAGAAGTGATCATCAACACAGACCATCCAGAGACATTTAACATACTAGCTGTTTGGAGTGTCCATCCCCTCCTGCCCAGCACAGAGAGTTTTGTTTCTAGCATTTTGCCCGTCCGAGAGCACGACAACTGCCCTCCCTTGTAAGCAGCCTCAGCCACTTGAAGAAGAAAAACACTGGATGAGTGTTGAAATATGTGTCCGCCCATGGAGAGAGCACTCGAATCTATCATTTTAACAGCTACAGCTACAATTCTTTAGTTACTTGTTCCCAGTTCTTTACTCCCACTTTGAGCAAGCAGGCACCCCTTTTCCAAGAAGCACAGTCTTGCTTCAGAAGAGCACCTTGGTCACTGCAGGAGATACTGCTGAGCCAGGCAGAGGGCTGTGAGCAATGTGCACCAGGTGCCCTGACGCCCAGCTACCAACCCTCCAAAGACACAGCCGAGGCAGTAACATGATTTACTGGTCCCTTCAGGGGAAGAGTAGCAAGAGAAAGTATTCTGCCTTTAACACCAAATGTCCTATCATGACCCTTGAAGCTCAAATCAAACCTTGATGTCCTAACAGCTTCAGGACACTCACACAAATAGGCTTTGCAAACAACAGAATCAACTCTCAGAGCAGCGCTTGGTGCTGTACACACAGACACACAACAGGAACAGATCTGGACTCAGGGAAAAAGTAACCCTGCAAACATGTACAGCACCAGCAGGTTTCCAAGCTTCATCTAGAAAGAAGAGGGAAATAATTATCTTAGCTCTGAGATTTCTCAAAGCCTCTTCTGGATATCTGTGTTCCCATTTGTTTCAGAACAGACTACATCCAAAACAAATGGGACCGGAGATAGTGTCACTGGCTTATCAGTGCTTTTCTCTCCTCCCTTTTCCTCCATGACAGAAGAACTATTAAAAGCAGAACTAAAAACAACAACAAAAAACCGCACACACAACCCCCACACACAAATAACAACAAAACCCCACAAAAAACCCCACAAAAACTAGCAGGAACAATCTATTTTACAGGGAAATGTTAAAATTGACCGGATTGCAAAGGGGATCCCTTGAACGTAGACTCAATACTAAAATAAGCATAAGTAACACTAGTATTAGACAACAGTACTTGTATTTTCATGGCATTTGCTTACATTACATTCATAGCTTACATGCTTACATTACATGCACAGCTCCTACACCAGTCAGTTTGAGTCCCTGCCCTAAAGAGCTTCCAGTTCAATGCAGCTCTCAGAGCATCCTTTTATGTCAAATGTTGTATCTGTGTAAGGACATAAACCTCCTCCTTTAGCAAATACATTTACACAGGTGGTTGCAGAAACCACTTCCCAAACTACTTTCTGCCTCTTCAGACTTGAAAAGAAAAAGGAAAGATAAGAGGTCAGAATAAAGTTAACTTTGCCAAAAAAGCATATCTGTTCTTTTTCTCCACACCTCAACACCACTGCTGACAAACAACAAACACTGATTAAAGGGTTTTTAATGCCTGTGAAGGAAAGCAGACTCCCTGCAGCTGCACAGCAGCTGGGAACACTTGTGTTATTTAGCAGAGAAAGGTCTGACCCCACAAGTGAAAATGAGCTTGGTGGTCACTCATTCTATTCACCATCTGGGTACATTATAAGCACAAACAGAACAGCACAGCCCTTTGTGATGGAGGTAACGAGAAATAGCCAAGGCATTGCAGTACCAGAGTAACATGCTTTAGCAAGGCTTCAGGGGAAAGAGGGAGCAAGGGACACAAGTGACATGAACATGAGAAAGTAGAAGTCTATTAAGAAACAAATCTACAAGACAAGAGTCCACTACAAATCAAAACAGAGGTGCCTCCGCTGTTTAGCAGCTTCGCTTCTGATTAGTACTGCAGGCTGCTGCCTAACAAAACTGAGGAATAGAGAGATCAAGAAAACAGCACACGCAATGCCTTACCCCTGTTCGGCAGACTTCAAATTTGAAGACCCTTGGAATACATCTTTGGAAAAAGATCGATCTAGGTATGTTTATATGGCACAGATCACCCACCTATTTGTCTAAGCACTCAGACTGGCCCATCTTAAGTACAAATGAGCGAGTCCTTCCTGGGGAGAATTCCCCAGGAAAACGATACCATTTTATACATTAGAGGAGACCATAAACTTCTGGACATTTTTGTTACTGTTGGAAAGCATCATTTCACATTTCCTAGTTTTAATCTCACAGATTTATGCCTTGGTTTCAGGCTCCAAACTGGTGCAACCAGCTATACTGGAGGCAGAGCTGGAGCCAAGTTCCAGTTTTAATCACAACTAGACTCTCAGCCCCATGGCAGGTTGCCTACAGGGCACAAGGACTTCAACTTCAACCATGGGTTTGGGACTTCAGCCAAGTTTCCCCACCATGGAACCAGAAGCCTAGCAGGCCTCAAAGGTGTCAAAGATCCTACTCTAAGCCAGAGACCCAAAATGCTTGGCTTCTAGAAATACAAAGAGAAAATTCAAGCACCTTAGAAACTCTGGCAGAGATGGGATTGCCAGGGCTTGCAGTCTTCAATGTGCAGAAAGATACCAACCAGCCAGAACCACCACACCTCCCAAGAGCTGACCAGGGTGTCCAGCCTCTGTCCAGCCTCTGCCCATGCAGCCTCAGAACCCATCTAGTGAAAAAGGCTTTTGAAGTGAGCTTCCTGGGAAGTCCATTGTGTTTTGGGGAAGGGAGAGGAAGAGCTTGATTTATTTTAATATTCTCTTTTTGGAAATGTCCACAAATTTGTATTTCACTCGCATCTGGACGACTTTGGTTTAAGAATATGTTTTTAAAGCAAAGTTTCTTGAAGTCCAGTCCTTG